TGTTGTATGAAACTTGTATTGTTGCGAGTTGAAAATCTTTGTCAGATGTCAGAACAAGGAAATGGCGTCAATGATGCGGTCTGACGGCAACTACATTGACAGCTATGGCCATCTATTGCTAAATTCCGGTTTCATATTTACATACCTGGTAGCACTACAGCACTACTGTATTACTACACTACTGTAATAGTGCAGAAGTGTTCAGCAATGCTGAGCAGTGCTAAGATCTTCCATATATAGCCGCGTTTCGGCAAGGTACAAAATGCAGGAAACGAATATGCATCACAGAAACTATCTATTAACAGCTTCATTTTAAAAAAAGCATTTTCAGAGAGACTCTACGAGCACACTCTGATCAAGCTGAGAGTAAGTAATGGATTTCATTTACATATGCCTATTTATAGGGATCCGCGTCAATTTCTCCTTACGGAAAACGAGTCCATCTTGCGGCGATACTGCGTATTATGCCGCTTGCAGAGTATATGTACGCTATAAACGCCGCCAAGCAAGCGGTTTCATGGAACATGGTTCGAACGAGCACATCCACAACTTCTTACAATATGTCGATTCATTAGTTATTTTGTAATGATGCAACCATCACGACTACGGTTTTTGATGAGCGAATTAGAAATCATAGATCGTATTGTTGTCGATTGAACGAATTTCTGTGAGATGGCATATGCTGTTCATTGTGCGCCTATGTATCACAATAAATAATATCTTTTGTGCAAAATCACTTTCAGTTGTTTCAGCAATGGATTATGAATGGACAGCAACAAATTGGTGGAGAGGGTATGATAGTAGAGTTAGACGAGACTAAAAAATAGGCAAAAGAAAATACATAATATAATATATTATAGGATTGTATATGTGATAACACAAATTATAGAAATCAAAACCTTAAACAGTCTAGCTGGATCTTAATGCTTGTATGATTCTTATGTGAATTTATGTACTACGTATATAGTCCTCAGAAACGCGCGCCGAAATGATTTTTCGGTCTTGAAACGCTAACTCTATTAAACTACCGCAGTAATATCACGAGTTAAATTGACTGGCAATTTAACAAATTTTTGATGCTTATTCGCATCTTCGAAACGATCTTAATAATGATGAATAACATATTAAAATCTGTAAATAATTAATTCTTATTGCGAAAAATATTACCTCAGCCGGGAGTCGAACCCGGATCTCTTGCATACCGCACGGTATGTTCTTTACTTTTCACGATACAGCCGTAGTTTTTAGTCATGAACTAACTTTAGTAGAGAGATTTAGTATTTTAAATAATGACAAATATATATACTCGTGGTGCTTAAGATATAGATAAATAACAACAGAAAGAGTCATCGTAAAGAGCCACAAACAAGGATAGTCATACATAAGAAGCTCGCCTAGCAGTTTAGCATCTAATCAACAAACCAAGTTTCTTAAGCATTGAAAGGTCTAGCGAAGCTATGTTAAAAAGAAG